ATGTATATATAAGTATCATCATAATATTAGAGAACATAAATATATAAGTATTATAATATTATAGAATATAAATATAGAAGTATTATAATATTACAGAATATACATATATAAGTGTTATTATAATATAGAATATACATATATAAGTATTATCATAATATGGAATATACACATATAAGCATTATTATAATATAGAATATACATATATAAGTATTATCATAATATCATAGAATATACACATATAAATACAGTCAAAAACAGTTGTTTTGAAATTGGTCCCGGCATACTCCTTTATTCATCATTTCCGGTTGCGTCAAACCTTGGATAACTTGAAGTATTTACGTAGGTCCCTTATGCTTTGACACTTGACTGTATTATTTTAATATTATAGAATATATGTATCATAATAATATGATAAAATATACATTTATATGTATTATCATAATATGATAAAATTTACATACATTTGTATTATTATAAATACTACCTTAAACAAGTGTTCTACTTGGTCAGATATCTTGGCAATAAATATTCATTGTGATAACTTGTAGCATACATACATAGCCCATTAGCCCATCTCTTTACCATAGATGAATCATTTTGTTCATGACTCTTCAAATTAAATATGACTTGGAAACATTCGTGATATTTCAAATTGCAAATAATCACATAGAATACCATGCATATAACACTTCCAAAACAACTGTTTAAGTCTCATTCCAAATGACCCAGCCAGTATGAAATATGACTCAAGGTTTTACTATAACTCAATTGCAGCAGGATATAGTGTCACTTATTTCTCCATCTACTTGTTTATATGTAGTTATTGTACATACCGTAATCGACGTAATAAGTGCCCAGGGCGCTCTCAAAATTAGAATATTATTTTGGTGAAAAAACAGAATTGAAAGATAAATTTCGTGGTTTATGCTGACAGCCTGAAATGTTTATATATGACATATATTTTTCCAGAATTTAATTGCCCATAATTAAGGGTGCATATAACACACAAGTGCGTAAATCATACATGAATGAATAAGTCTTGTGTACATTGATCAATCGGAAGGGGTGCTAATTGGGATTGTTCACTAGCCAATATATTTGCGCTTATTAGAGCGGGGTGCTTATTACGTTGAATACGGTAATTATTTTTTTCAAGAGCATGTATTTTATGTACATATGTATGGTTAAATGTTGCAACTAGTGCTACTCAGAGATTTATAAAGGATTCCAAACTAAGTTCTCAGGGCAGGCAAATTGGGAAAAAATGTTTTTATTTTTAAAAACTGGGATTAATTTTAAGTATTTATTTTCTTATATTCAGAGGTATTTCAACATTATATTTTGAAATTGTATAAAATGCAATAATAAAACTAAACATTCAAACCTCTTTGTATTTGTTGGTCCTGTGATCAGTGAATACCGGTTATTTCTCCACAGTCACAAACTGAGTTACATATATTTACATGAACTGGAAATTATTTAGATTCTGATATGGGAATTGCTAATTATATTTGGTGACAAACCTAGAAACATAATCGAGGTGAAGCGGGATTCGAAACCACTGTTAATAATATTCTGGCATGCCCAAGGGACGCAACTCTGCACACTGCATTGAAGTGCCTTACACGACTGGGCCACCAGTGCCCCCCTTAAATGACTGGGCCACCAGTTCCCCCTCAAATGACTTGGCCATCCATGCCCCATGGAATGTTTCAAATACATTTTGAAGTTAATATAAGATGTATCAAACATCATCTAAGACAACAGTATTCAAAATACATCGAGTACTTTATACACCAATCAGACACTAATTTCAGACACAGATGCAATGCTGAAATTCAACTGCATCACATACGGTATCCTAAAAAACCGTAAGCATTAACATAGCAAATGGATTTAAAGCTTCTTATATCCCTATCTGATCTTAACTGTGAAAATATGTCGACAAGAATGTCAAACTGTGAGCATGATAAGGTGAAATTGTTTAAATATATATTTGTAAGATTATCACTGATGTTGAAGTATTAAGCATGAAGGATCAGTGGGGTTACTAAGCCTTGTGGTTACAGTATTCACTCGTCACACTGTAGGCCTGGGTTTGATTCCCCACATGGGTGTGATGTGTAAGGCCTAGGTGTCCCCAACCTGATATTACTGCAGTATTGCTAAAAGGAACATTAAACATCTTAAAGCCAATTCACTCACTCACACACTTTAAGCACTCCAAAATTCATCAGATTATTGAGAAAATACAGATCATCTAATGATCATTGATCACTGATTAGTCTACATGGCATACACCATGACATGCACACAGCAAGCTCTTCAATCATTTTTATCTATTGCTTCAATCATAATAAAACTGATCTAGACCACATATCATGATATATGTCACTCCGATGCATCACATTTAGCAAAATCAAATTACATGTAGACCAGAATTAATTTTTGAAAAGTTTTTGATGTAACATTACTACATTTGAAGATCCGGGAGAGAATAGGTCTTCAGCAACCCTGGTGCTTGCCGTAACATGCGACTATGCTTCATGTAAGAGGCGACTAGCGGGATCGGGTGGTCAGGCCCACTGACTTGGTTCATGCGTGTCATCGTACCCCATCTGTGTGGATCGATGCTCATGATGTCAATCACTGGATTGTCTGGTCCAGACTGGATTATTTACAGACCGCTGTCATATAGCTGGAATATTGCTGAGTGTGGCGTTAAACAACAAATAAACAAACAAACAAAACATTTGGAGGGGAATCTATCTTGGGCTATATGACTATAGTCATTCTAAGGTATAGTTGTCAAGCCAAACCTTTGTCAATGAGTTGTAAACATTCACTTGAGAGTGACTATCTACAGCTGTGTGAACTACGTTTATCTTTTGTTCAGTGACAAAAGGTTTTTTTAGGATGATGATAATAATGTTAAACACAACATGATAAACACAAGAAGGCTGTTCCCATGTATCTACGGACTTCAACAGATCCCATTTGCCCAGGCACCAATTCTTTAAAAACTCCTCCATCTACTTGTAAATAACAGCTACCTACATCATGACATATTGTAGCCTAATGCCTTGATTAAACGCCAGGGAATATATATCTATCAGACACCTTTTACCACCCTCCAAATTTAACTGCAAAGATAATAATGGGGAGAATTCGGAGCAAAAAAACTTATATAACCCAGTGTTTTATTGAGACCCTGACGGTTATTCCACAACTGTTGTTTGTTTTTAAATGTAACATTTGTTACATTTGACCACTTTCTAAATGGCATTGTGTGTTCATAGCTTTCGGCCATGGGAGCTGTGCCAATTTACACTTGTCAGAGGGGTACACAAAGTATGTGATCTAGACTACCAGTTGTCAGACTTTCATTTTTGTGGAAGCTTCCAATACTTATTTGTAAAATATAACATGATGTAAGCCTATCTCCACTAACCTATATAAATCATCTTGTGTTGAGAATTAGAATATCAGGATGCAGATTACCCCCCAGTCATGGTGCAGGATAAAGTCAGCTGGAGTTGCACCAGTTGTCACTAATTGCAGTGACAGCAGCCAGATATATTGGATTTGTGATTACTTGAAACTCATCCCATATATCTTGTAACGAGACAGGTAGTTGTTAGAGTTGCCAGGTGTTCTAACTTTACTCTGTATTAATAACATGCTGTCATCTTCACAGGCGATCCTTTTCAGGGGTACGGGTGGCCCAGTCGACTAAGGCGCCACGATTTAGTGTGCAGAGTTGCGTCCCTAGGGCACGCCAGAAACCTATGATTGTGGGTTCGAATCCCGGTTCACTTCGATTATGTTTCTAGGTTTGTCAGCGCCATACCCGTGCTCATGGGTTTCATCGAAGTGGTAAACGTCTGAGACCTGCATCACTTCGGGCTTTCCTCCCACATGAAGCTGACACGCCGTGATATAACTGGAATACTGTTAAAAGCAGCATTAAACCCAACTCTCTCACTCACTTAATATCCTTTTCATGTCTACAAACCAATTCCCACAAGTTTGCTAGCCAAAGACTACTTAGTTGTGCGGGGAACAAGTAAAAATAAAGACACGGTTGTCTTCAGTTGTCGATGCTTAAATTCTGCTACAAATAGGAACTGAATGATGCTGACAGACTATGTGAACATGGTAAATATTTGTGTCTTGTTCAAGCAGAGGACTCGTGAAATATGGTTTAAACTTGTCTGCTGGACTGGACTTGAAAAAAACCCACTAATTTTGTCTAAGGCTGGAAACGTAATAATTTGAACAGTATCCCCCATCACCACTGAGAAATCATTAAGTTCTGGAAACAGGAAACTGATTATGTTCAATTTCACAAGGAAAACCAGTTCATTTCAACATCTGGCAGATAGCAAACGCGATACACTGAAGAATATGTAACTATCTCATATATGAATTCAATATTATCTGCGTTAAAGTGCAAATTCATTTGCCATATTCCATGTCACTGTGCTATCAATCAAATATACACCAAATGAAGCACATGTTAAACATAGTCACAAAGAAATATTGTACAACCTGTGACGTTCAAACACCAGTCTAATAATTGTCCCACAAACAAATCACATGTACAATAGTACTGATTAAAACCAACAGGTGTGACTTTGTACATGTAATCATTAAGTGTACAGCTTTCAGATTACCTACATTCCATGATCGTTTTAATACAGAAAAAACCTGTCAACTTTGGGCAAAAACGTGCATTTCAATGTGTCTAGTTCTCGTCTACTGTGATTAAATCACAGCAGTCACTCGTGAAACTAGATGATGAAACTGACGATATGGAGTGTAGTATAATATAAAAGAGCATGGCAAATATATTCCCATTCATCATCAACAGATTCAGTTTGGTAGAACGAAATGATGATCATGAGATATGCATCATTTTAGAGATCACTGTATCATATTACAATAAACCATATAACCGGCATCACTCAAGTCTAAAGAAACACGTAAACACCACTTGCCTCCATGCTTGAGAGCGCATCCGGACTCCAGCGGGATCACTAGAAGAGGGAATATACCACTTAGTCCAACAAGAACAGAACTTAGAAGAGAGTAAGCCCAGATTTCATAAGTTCTACTGGAAACTTCTTCAGTCATATCCTGACTTTCCGAATCGAGCGCCACGTCTGGTGGTCGTTTGGCTTTGACACCGTTTTTCAATACTGTGGGCTTTGCCCGATGAATCTCCGCTGTGGTATAAGTAGAGCATATTGCATAGATAACTATCATCACATATACCAGATGTTGATAGCACGCCATTACGGCAGGTGACAAGACTTATCACCTTTGAATATACATGTGTACTGTCCACAACAACATTGACGCGACCTTTCAACTTTGACCTCGCCACATGGACGGTGCTGCTTGTTCCTCCTTGACAGTTGCCTCCCTTGAAAGTTAAATCTCTTTGTGGTGCTGCCTCGCACGTCTACCGAATGTGGTGCTTGTTATATTGGCGATAGTTATCCAGCTCGCTGTTAGATGATGGAGCTTTGCAATGGCTGCACGTTATCACTGATAACAAGCGAAATCCTACCTTCACGGCTGAGCGATCACGTCGTTCAATTACTTCCGTAAATACATCGGGAAGTCACGGAAATACCCGAGGATGAGGTGACCGCCGATGCTTTCATGGGGGAATTCGTCCTTGCCCTTGTGAGGAATTGGTTGCAATAATGTATCCTGAAAACGAACAAACACAAAACTTATGCAGTAGCTATGTATTGGAGATTATAAATTCAGAAAATTATTTCTTTTACAATATTTATGCCGCATTAAATAAAGAACTTCAGATTTTCTGCTAAACTGTGGCCTGAGATATTGGTACGGAATGTTACCTTTGACCCTCAGCTCTATTCCTGGCAGTCCTTTTCTCGCGGGAAAGTGAGAAGACACCGCGAAGAAGATGCGAGCGAGGGGAAGGATGTATCCGGGCTGAATACGTCTAAAAAAAAACAGCAGATGGAAGCAGAGAGTAACAAGAGGCGTTCCGGGGAATGAGACGGGAAGGGTGTTGGATCGGGGCGAAGGTCGTCTACTGAAGAATATGGATTTTCTGAGCAAGACTTCAATCTACGATATAGCTCAAGATGCCTCCCAAGTCGCCAGTCACCACGACACGGATAATGCGCGATTCCTTAGACCGGTGCGTTGACCTTCGTTTTCCACCTTGCTTATTCCATACAAGGTGTATAAATATTCATACGAAAGGTAGGCCTTGTAGGGTATCTTGAACGATATTAGCCCGGACTCTACAATGCTTTATCCATTGTATCATCCAATCCCGGAGTATTTTCAGCACAAATGTTAACAGCCGATGATCGCCTTTTGAGAGTTATTTTCCGTAATCAGCAGGGAGTCGTTGGTTTACGATATAGATGATATCTGATTACATGGTATGGCCAAGGCTTAGAGCTTAGCAACGATGTTCAATAAACGGTCTCCGGCAGTGTATATAGAATGGTTCGGTACTGGCACCTATATCGACGGCTGTGGGGTAACATAAATTCTTGTTTAACACCTTCAGGGTATATATATAAAGGTAAACAGTTTACCCCAGTAAAGATTTGGGTCATGTGGTTGGTATTTGAGTATGGTAAGGGTAAAGTGAGTGGGAAGTGCAGCCTGGGTATCCCCATAACAAGGAAAACTTTTAAAATTAATTTCAGAATATGCACCACAGGGGAAATTTATATATTAAGAAAATTGTATGAATAAAACATGACCTGGAATACACCCTTGTTGTACACTAATTCTCCTTACATAATTTATTTTTTCACAGAATTCCCCAATGGGGAACCCATGCGTCTGACCTACATATACATTCATATGTTATTATGTTCCTGCACACATGGGGTCGGCAATGGAGTCTTCAGCTTCCATTCTGCATTTACAAGATAATGTTGCAAAAAAAAAATGGTTTTCTCTTTAGCAGTGATAGACGATATGCTTTCGCAGCGGGTTTACAAAAATGTTTCACAAATTTGTAAGAAATTTGTATAGGCAAGCAGTGCAGCATTCTCTTTTGATTGTCAAAGAAGAGACAATAAATCTCTGTGCAGTTATCTGAAATGAGAGACATTGTATGTATTGTCAGGTAGATTAAAAGAAGGGTCTTTTTTATAATGTCTCTAAAACAAAAATATTTATTTTAATTTTAAGCAACATTAGGACATGCAAAAAAAGTATACTGTAGATTATGAAATTAGTGTGATTTAATTAAATTTAATAAGAATCAGAGACTGTTGCCAGTCTAGGTTTGAGTTAGAAGTGTGATTATCCTCCAAATCCAGCCTTCAATAAATAACAACTCAGTTTTACTGGAAAATGTTGTTATGAGGGTATAAATGTTTTCGATCAAAGTCTTGAAACTAAAAACAAAACAAATTTGCATTTCTCGTAGAGATATCGTTCTTTTGAATACAACTCAATACTACTTTTGACACCTCCTAAATGCCAAATCGCAGTACAATTCAACATGGCAGTACGCGTTGTATATTTTTCTCTCAGTATTTCCATTCCATAAATGGACCTGAAGAGTAATACTGTTTTATGAGATGCATTCCAGCGTGTCATATAGGAAACGAGCATACACAGTGACGTACGTACATTTCTCTAATATTTCGGGTTGAGAAATACGGTCTCGTCCGCTGTTTATATGGTTTAGGGTACTGGGTACCTTTCTGTACTCTGTTTTTGGGTTGGGGTACATCTCTGTATACAGAAACTTACCTAGAGCACATATCTGTAGCACCTGTGCGGACAGGGACCCCTTCAGCTTGAATTTGCCATTTTCAGAGAGTTTTGCAAACTTTTGGTGTTTGCTCATCCGTAAAAGGAAAATCAATATTATCATTTAATAATCATTTTGAAGTGGTAAGCATGAGTGGTCGACATCTTATTGTGGACCCAATGTTTACAGCATATACAAACTTCTTCAGGAGGTTATTGGGTAGCCTAGTGGTTATCATGTTGGCTAATCATGCAGAAGTCCTGGGTTCAATTCCTAAAATGAGTACAGCGTTCACAATTATTTCTGGGGCCCCCAGCCTTCTCTTCTTATGCCTGTAATATTTCTAAATATTTCTACTATAGGTGTAAAACTCTTCTTTCACTCCTCTCACTCCAACAGATTCTCTCTCTCTCTCTCTCTCTCTCTCTCTCTCTCTCTCTCTCTCATTTTGTTCCATCATTTAATTGATGGAGAAGAAACATACTCCTGTCTAGGGCTGACACGGGTAACCTGTGGGTACCCGTGTCCTACTCAGTACCCACCTGACCCGGGTACCCACAGGACTACCTGGAACCGTGGTTAGTCACTTGATATACTGTTTAATGACGAAAAAAGTATCAAGAACTCTATGGTTACACTACAAGTCACATATGTTCGCATTCCTTCTGATTTTTCATATCTTTGAATGAAGATATAACGTGAGTCAACTGACCAGATTGTTTAATACATGTATCTAAATACATTTTGCTAGTGCTATGGTAATAAAATGTCCAATCGGACATTTTGTACCTATCTCTTGAGACCTACAGTGGGTACCCGGGTAGGGTTGGGTAATAGGGGGGTGGGGATCCAGGTAGTAAATTCAGATTCGCCCCAGCCCTACTCCTGTCCAAACATTGCCTGTCCACAACTTGGCTGTCCTTTAGAGAATATCCTAGTAGCATTCCAGAGTCAATTTCAAACATAATGGGCATGTTTTGGTTCCATATAAAATTTTATGACCCCACAGTTTTTAGTGAGGCCTTACTGGTAGTGGTATCTTAATGTTGCCGAGTCCTATATCATGTCCCTGTTATCAGGCCTACTCTCAAGGATGTTTCAGTGTGCCCTTTGGAGTGTAGGAGTGCAACAAGAACAGTACTTTGATCCTTCTTCAAGCTCTGTGAATGCCATTTCGCCGTGAGCTAGATAATACAAATAATCACTATCATGACTAGGTTACTCCATTTTCTTTGCAAAAGATGGGGTTGTGTGTCAGAGGTTTTTGATGTGCTAATGTGAAGAAACTAATAACCAACCCCTTGTCATATTTTTTTATGACCCTCCTCAAATATGTGTACCGGTATTATATTTTTTTGGGGTGATCCTCCCCTTATTCCCTCTGACCCCCACTGAATAAATGACCGGTCCCTCATTGCAATGAATGCAATGTTAAATACAATGTTAAAATAACTCTGAATTTAAAGAACCCCATCAACTTTATAAAATATGCAGAGTTTTGAATGAAATGATCGTTTTTCCTGAATTTGCCTGCCGCAGGCATTTAGTTTGTTATCTTGTATAATACAATTTTGAATTGTTACCTTCAGTTTGAGGATTGACTATACACTTAAGTACATCTTTTTCATGACCCTCCTCAAATATGTGTATTATATTTAATTACCCCCTGTACAGACTCATATTTCCATGACAAGTTCCACCTCGGTTAAAAAAGGTTAGGGTTTGTTTAGATTTAATTGTGTCATAAATTCTGCAACAGGGGTGGGGGTTATAGCCACGTTAGTGCCAAACTCTTGTTCAATTTTGAATTGTTACCTTCAGTTTGAGGATTGACTATATACTTAAGTACATCTTTTTTATACCCACGACAAAATGTCGGGGGTATATAGTTATACCAAGGTTCCGTCCGTCCGTCCGAAAACTTTGTCCGCGCGATTTCTCTTAAAATATTCAGGGGATTCATCTCAAACTTAGTACATATAATCTGTGTCATATGGAGGGGTGCAGTCAAAAAAAATAAAAATGTTTTTATTAATTTTCCATTTTTTAATGAATTTTTCAAACCCTGACGTCCGTCTGAAAACTTTGTCCGCGCGATTTCTCTTAAACTATTCAGTGGATTCATCTCAAACTTAGTACATATAATCTGTGTCATATGAAGGGGTGCAGTCAAAAAAAATAAAAATGTTTTTATTAATTTTCCATTTTTTAATGAATTTTTCAAACCCTGACGTCCGTCTGAAAACTTTGTCCGCGCGATTTCTCTTAAACTATTCAGTGGATTCATCTCAAACTTAGTACATATAATCTGTGTCATATGAAGGGGTGCAGTCAAAAGAAAAAAATTGTTTTTATTAATTTTCCATTTTTTAATGAATTTTTCAAACCCTAAGTTACCCTATCCTAGCTATTTAATTTGTAACTACTGACAAACTAGGCGGGTCGGGGGTATTAGTGAGCCACGCTCACTTTTGCACTTGTTTAATTTTATGTTTTGTTTCAATGGTTTCCACAATTCTTTATTGTTCTGATATTTTCAGAAGTGGGGGAGATCTAGGTTGGGGAGTGAGTTGGGGAAGGGATAAAGTCATTTATTTCAATATGATACCGCTCTGTGTTAAGATCTTTATTATTCTACCACCTCATATTGCTATATAAATATCAACAACAATATTATGTTGAAGCCTTGGTATATAAATATCAACAACAATATTATGTTGAAGCCTTGGTATATAAATATCAACAACAATATTATGTTGAAGCCTTGGTATATAAATATCAACAACAATATTATGTTGAAGCCTTGGTATATAAATATCAACAACAATATTATGTTGAAGCCTTGGTATATAAATATCAACAACAATATTATGTTGAAGCCTTAATTTCATAAGGTACATGAGGGAAAAGTCATTTGAGCTAGTATTTGAGATACAGCAATCATGCTGGTCTGAATACTTCGCTCACTCAGGCTGAGAATTTGGAGGTCTCAATGCCGATTGGCTGACCAGAAAGTACCTGATGCAACCTCCTATGGAGATGTCCTCAGATCTCCATACAGGGAGGTAGCAGAGTAAAAGGTCTGATTGTAATAATATTGGTTAAGCATAGCAATACTGGTGATGCTTATTAAAATATATACATCTTTTCCCAACAAATTTCCATAATCCATTTGAGATGGTGAGTGTTTCAGTGATTACATGAAACAGGTGCTTGATTACTTTCAAATCGATACGAAGCTTGGATAATGAAATATGCTAATGTAGTGGAATGCATGCTAATGTGTTTGACTCAACTCCTTTCATGGGCATTTGAACAAGCGAATTTTCTCCTCAGGCCTTCATCTTCCCGAGGCAAGAGCGTTAACTGACTTTAAAAGTCCAGTTTCCACCCTTGCCGAACTTGGCTGGAATTCCTGGGCTCGATCGTAGCGCCACCAGTGGCTATTACGAGTTGTCTCCTTTCTATGCCTCTCCTATTGACCAATCAGATTCAACCTCTCGTATCACTTGCATTTGCTACAAACAAAACAGTGGCGCCCAGTCAAGACGGTCTGATTGATCATGAAGATCTATATTGTGATAAAACGAGTCTTACATCGCGAAGTTCATCAAATCACGTGAGCACCTTGATTAAAAACATGAAAAGATTTAGAAAATATCTGTTGACAACGAGTTAGCGGTGCACATGCTTTGCAAATCCTTCAGTCGACCGAAATCTGCATGACACTTTACGAACCGGATTTCGATTTCGGTGCGCGATTTTGATTGGACTATGCATAGACTCGTTAGTCCAGCCAAAATGTAACTCCATAATACCAGCCTAGTTCGGCAAGGGTGGAAACTGGACTTTTATAGTCAGTTAACTCTCTTGCCTCGGGAAGATGCAGGTCTCAGACCACTCATCCCAATTTATTATAAAAATATTTGGAAATAAAAGTTGCCTGTCCCACTTACTCTGACTTTTGTGAAACTATGAACAAATTCACCTATTTGCGTCTGTGGTAAAAGATTTCTTTTCTGTTATACCACAAAGAGTGGGAATAAAAAAAGTGGAAACAGAATGTTCCTGTCGACTTGCAGTAACCATGGTAACAGTGACTGTACTCACATTGTGTTACAGCGCATGAAACATGAACCCCAAGTGTCTTTTCTAAAGTTATATTCCAGCAAGGTGCTTATCATGTGTGTTTTTCCAAACAAGAGGCAAGTTTGCTCATCAATTTCAGATAAATATTTCTCCCTTAAGCTTCTGATGAAAATGAGCAAAAATAAAACAAGTCGCGATCACGTGCGGCTATAATGGCGTTGGCGATAATTAGTCCTTGGTGATAATTGGTCACTAGCCAATATGGTTCAAAGTTGAGCAAGCTGAGAAAACCAAATGTTATGATGATTACATATGCTCAACAACATTGTTGATGTAATACAAATACCACTGACAGACTCAGCCAATATTGTTGATGTAATACCCATACTATTGACAGACACCTACAATGTTGTTGATGTGATGGAGTGAGGTCAATAGTACTGATGTAACCGTTCCTTGTACACCACCTGATACAGTTTTCAATATAGAAGATGGAAGAGAGTACTTTATCACTACAGCTAATTTTCAAGTGTGAATGATAAAAAGAATATTACGTTCATTTGTCCATCCTACAGATTTTAAAAAACTTGGTCACAATTCATGTTTTTCCCTCGTCATTCGTAAAGATCCTGAAACAAAAAATCCCAAATTTTACAAAGTTTGCAATACTTTAGCAAGTTTGTATATCTTCAGTTTCAGGAAAATTATCAGCTACTCTTGGTTTCTTTCATTTTAAGTTAGGTATGAGTGAGTTCAGTTTTGTGCCGCTCTTAGCACTATTCAAGCAATATCACGATAAGGGACACCAGAAATGGGCTTCACACATTGTGCCCATGTTGGGAATCAAACCCAGGTCTTCAGTGTGACGAGCAAATGCTTTAACCACTAGGCTACCCCACCACCCCCTCTTTTCAGTGACTGAATGTCAGACTTGTATGCTCTTCCTGTAAATACAAACATCCAGTCAACCTGTTGTTAAAATCAATGCAACACAAAGATTTGGGGAATAATGTCTTTCTGTTTTTTTGTTTGAGGATTGATTGAGGTGTGCATCACTTATGAAAATAAACTATGGTGCCAAGGGGTCCGGGTATTAGCATAATGAAATGGAGATTCCTGGATTATCAAGGATTGTAAAGTCTGATTGCTATTGTTCCAAGCCTACCTCTTCCACTTTACTTGCTGTTGCTGTCAACAGAAAACCCCAAACTAACTTCTACCATTTTTGCAGTTCAAACAAACTGTATTGACAGAGCTCCTAATTGCATAATTTGAAACTGCATACTAACTTATTTCTTCATATTTTTCAGGTGGTGACAATCGAAAAAGTTCCAGACAAGCTCTTGCTCAATGCCTTCTCATTTCTGAAGCACAAGGAACTTGGGAGAGTGGCACAGGTGTGTCGGAAATGGCGTCTGCTTGCTTATGACAGTCGGCTATGGCAGAGCGTGTCGCTCCGCCCGGAATTCTCAGGTCTACATGTTAACCACATAGAAACTCTAATGGCGCTGATAAGTCTTCGGTTTGGTGTCACCCTCAAATATATTGAGCTGCCAAGTGAACTTATTCAAGCCCCTGTGTTACATGAACTATCAAACAAATGCCCAAATCTTCGAAACATGACCTTGGACTTTTCGAATGCCATGCAGCTCCATGACTTTAATGACCTCAATGCCTTCCCCTGCAATTTGCGAAGTCTCTGTATCTGTCTCTCGGAGGTCATCTTTCTGGAAGGGTTCATGCGCAGAATATATAGCTGTTTGTCATCACTTGAAGTCATGCATTTGATAGGTAAGTGAATGTGTTGCGAAACGAACATATTTCTTAAATGTTTTTTCTTTACTTATTAGGGGCGGTGGGGTAGCCTAGTGGTTTAAGCGTTTGCTACACACTAGGGCTGGGACAAGTTCAAATTTTCTACCCGGGTACCCACCCCACTATTACCTGACCCTACCCGGGTACCTGCTGTAGGTCTCAAGAGATAGGTACAAATGTCCGGTTGGGAATAGTTTGACCGTAGCCTTGGCACGATGTATTTAGATACTCATAGAAAACAATTTGGCCATGCATACATTGTAGTTGACTGAAGTTTTATCTCTATTCAAACATATAAAGTAAGAGGAATTGGTGTATAGTCAGAAAGAAATTCGACACTAGTCACTTATAGTCTAACCGTTGAAGTTCTAGATAATTGTTGCCATTAAACAATATATCACGTGACTAACCACGGGTCCGGGTAGTCCTGTGGTTTTCCGGGTCCTACTCAGGAACCGCCCGACCCGAGTACCCGAGTACCCGATGCCCAAGTTACCTGTCCCAGTCCTACTAGACACGCTGAAGACCCACGTTCAATTCCCTACATGGGTACAATGTGTGAAGCCCCATTTCTGGTGTTCCCCGTCTTGATATTGCTGGTATATTGCTAAAAGCATACTCACTCACCACTTATTAGCATCAAAATCTCTGACGTAATTCATACCGTATTCGACGTAAGAAGCGCCCCGCTCTATTAAGCGCCCATGGCGATATTTGCAATCCCAATTAGCACCCTTTCCGATTGATCAATGTACACAATACTTATTTATTCGTGTATAATACGCACTCGTGTGTTATATACACCCTTAGTTATGGGCAGTTAAATTATGGAAAAATATATCTCTCGTATGTAAACATTTCAGGCTGTCAGCATAAACCACAAAATTTATCTTTCAAATCTGTTTTTTCACCAAAATAATATTCTATTTCTAATTTTGAGAGTGCCCAGGGTACTTATTACGTCGAATACGGTAATTAAATTGTGTGAGTTGTGGGTTCTAAAGGTAGGGCAGGACATGCTTACCCTTTTTGTGAATTTTTATTTTCAGTGATTTTCACTGCTCTTTTGCCTTTTACACCCAATGGAATCTGTTTTTATGTTTTATATTTATACCCCTCAGTCTCTTTGTAATTGTTTCTGGTACACCTGGTATTGTAACTATTTGGTAGTGATGCTCATGCTCATGATGTAGTCAGAATCGTACAATGGATTCTGCTATTAGACCTGTGAAGATCCGGGTAGAAAAGGTCTTCAGTTACCCATGCTTGCCATAAAAGGCGACTTTGCTTGTGGTAAGAGGAGACTAACTGGATCGGGTGGTCAGGCTCGCTGATGCATGTCATCGTATCCCAATTGCGTAGATCGATGCTCATGATGTCAGTTACTTGATTGTCTGGTCCAGACTCGATTATTTACAGACCGTCGTCATATAGCTGGAATATTGCTGGAGTGTGGCGTTAAACAACTAACTCTGCTTTGAGCAGAGATTTCATATGAATAGGTTTTGTCGCTTTTTGTTGTTAATATTATGTGTATTGCCTTTCCTTTTTATCTTATAAGTGCTGGGTGCACAATAATTCTTTACATTGAAACTTTGAAATGGTGTCTCTACATTCTGCTCAGAGAATTCTCATCTGGTATAAACATCGCAGCCATATTTGAATTTTACAGTTTTATCCATTCTACCATTCCGGAATACACCTGGCTGCTATTTTATCATTAGATTGCTTAATGTTGCGTTTGTTAGTTCTCAGTTCGTGGTTTTATTGACACCTGAGAGCATCTTTTCATCCTATATGCCCTGAAATGTGCTTAACTGTTTACGTGGTATGTGGATCGATTATTATTATAATTACACTCCCAGATAAGACTGCGTGGACAATTACTCTTGTGTATACAAATCAGGCACTGTTATCAGCCCTGCTGTTACATCCTGTGTTCACCCTAGAGACTCTACAGTGTTAATGCAAGTCCGCTGGCAGCCTTGTGGCACACACGCACAAGGTACACACACACTAGGTATACCATCTGTCAACTGAGGTCTTTCTGATGACCTCTGTACTTTAATCTCTGCAATATGCTACTTTACTGCTGCGTTATGCTATGGTTTAGGCTTCCACAAATCTGCTGGTCCAATTAACCTGGACAATTCATTTTATGATGGCTTGTCAGACAGGCTTCTGGAAAATTTTTGGGGTGTAAATAATGGTCAGAAGGTTACTTCCCTGCATATATTGACCTACTTTTTTTCATAACTGAAATTATTTCACTGACTTGGCATGAAGAATTTCTTTATGACTGTTCTCAAAATATCAATTGTAATCCCCATTGTGAAAATGAGGCACTTTTTTTAAATTGAGGCACATTTATGAAATTTAAGTACATTTATGAAATTGGGGCACATTTATGAACTAAGAGCACATTTATGAAATTGGGGCACATTTATAAACTTAGTGCACATTTATGAAAATTAGGCACATTTATGAAATTTAAGCACATTTGTTAAATTTAAGCACATTTGTGACATTTAGGCACATTTATGAAATTTAAGCACCGTTTTTAAATTTAAGCACATTTATGAAATTTGGGCACATTTGTGACATTTAGGTTCTGCTAATCTGTAAACAAAGTCATTACACATCTCACACGTCTGTGGCCTATCTCCGTCAAATTCCATGCATGTATTATCCATGTGACAGTTGACATCAGTGTCACGACCATTGTGTCACCCAGCCACAGCTCATTACACCAAGCACTGTCTGTCAGAGACTGTCCCTATGTGACACTAGTTCATGGTTCGAGCAAGTGAAATGAGGTAAAAGACAAAATACAAAAATATATAAGATATTTTCGGATAAAAAATCTGGGAAATAGTGCATATTTGCAGAAATTGAACTAACTGCTTTTAGAACCTGATACCAATATCATTTCTTTGTATAACCCTGTGCGATTGCCTCCATAGTTCAGGTGTATATAATTATATAATGTTACATCACTCAGGAGGTTTAGGTGATTCTCTCATCAGATAGTTCACCACCAACACTAAACACCTCCATGAAGGACTGTGCGACAAGCATCACAAAAGCCAAATGTGCTGTGCAGAGCAGTGTTTGAAATAATTCTAAAACCAAACAAGACAGTCAGGCATAAATCTTGCCTGCCCATCTTCAAAGTTACCTGCCCGCAATCCGACATTATAAATATTGAAAAATAGCGAACAATAAGAGACAAATCTCATCTTAATTCAGTTGAAATAATGCAAATAAGTACTTAAGAACATCCGAAGAGTTATAATAAAACTGAATACATAAGTTGGCTTAAAATTATCTGCCAGATAGTCAGGCAGGTAGAGGAAAATTTCATTCATCCCGACAGAAAAGTTACCAGCCACGGGGAGGTGGGCAAGCAGTTATTTAGGACACTGGAACAGAGTTGAGTCCTTCAGCTGCCAGATGTCTTTATCAAACCTGTCGGTATACCTGAACTATGGTAAAGCCATGCAAGGAATCTAGTACATGTCTCATGCTGTCTGGTGCAGTGACGCACAATCACCCTAGTTACATTATACAAAACCCATGAAGATCCGGGGTAGAATAGGTCTTCAGCAACCCATGCTTTCATAAAAGACGACTATGCTTGTCGTAAGAGGCAACTAACGGGATCGGGTGGTCATCCTCGCTGACTTGGTTGATGCATGTCATCGATCCCAATTGCATGGATCCATACCCATGATGTCAATCACTGGATTGTCTGGTCCAGACTCAATTATTTACAGACCACCATCAAATACATGTAGCTGGAATATTGCTGAGTGCGGCGTTAAACAACAAACAAACAAACAAACAAACAAACAACATTATACAACCATCTAATCCTCATTTCAGTTAGTTGTTAATTATTAGACATGGGTTACCATGGTTTCTGGGAAGCAATTTTGCACCAAACCTTCCACCTGACTATTGCATATCACAATGTTTCCAACTACAAAATGTCTCCTTTCGGAATTACATACCCACAATATTTTCAGGAACATTTGAGCTGTCTACGGAGTCTGATGAAGACAGCTATGAAGTCATCAACATCAGCAAGATCAAAGCGCACACGCCAAACTTAAAGATTGTCAACTTTTATGGAATCGGTTTCATTGATGACTCCCACATCGAACTGTTGACCTCCAACTGCATCCATCTGGAGACTCTGGCGCTCAACTTCTGTCTCCGTGTTCGAGGATCGTCTTTCAAGACCCTGATACAGCGCTGCAAGAAGCTGAAGTCCCTCCTCCTGCAGCACACAGGTGAGTCAGGGACTTCTTCATCCACAACAGCAGGCATACTCAGTGTCAAGGTCAAGGTGTCCTTGTAATAACCAGCCTTTACTAACTGGTGCTAGTCCTCTAGCTCGAGACTGTGGGGGCAGTGGGGTAGCCTAATGGTTAAAGCATTCGCTCATCACACTAAAGGCCCAGGTTCGATTCCCCACATGGGTACAATGTGTGAAGTCCATTTCTGGTGTCCCTAGCTGTGATATTGCTGTGATATTGCTCAAAGCAGCGTAAAACCTCACTCACTCACTCACTCACTCACTCACTCACTCACTCTAATTTGTGCCTTCACGTAAAAATCAAATGATGGTAGTCCTCATAGACTAAATGTAGTATTTGAGGGCTTTAATTCTAAACAAATTCTAAATGCTTTAATTTTAATACAAAACTGACAGAAAGTGTAAACATAGTAAACATTTTTGTCCCCTTCCAGCAGGACTAGACACAAGTTCAGAGGACTAGTGATATAAGGTTTACACTGCTCCTCAGAACAAGTCTTAAAAAACCCTGAATTTCGGAGGCTGCATCACGTGATGTGAAGTGTAGCACTTTGTGGGCCCCTGGATTCAAATACTCTAGGAGACTTCAAGGACACCAGGACCCCCATTAATTTGAACACTGTACAGACTAAGTCTTGTTAACCATGAGTATTGAATAGACCCATATTGGTTATCAAATTGACTAATTTTTTTATTAAATGTGGCTTATAAGCCTGCCTGCCTTTTTGCAATGAAAAGCCAATAAGAAATACTGGTCATGTGAATTAGATTATAAGTATCTAAGAACATTGGTCTTTTTCTTTGAAACAGTAATCAATCTCCAATCAACCTATTTGTACCACTGGCATTGTGGGAAACGGATAATATATCATATATTTGCAACTTACAGATTTTTGTTTTATGTTGGATAAGATATGCACCAGACAGGCAGCAAGGATTGAATGATCCCCAGGAAGCTGAAAAGCAATCAGTATGCTCTCTGTTGACAGGTGTAATTTATCATCCCAAACTGGCCTCCACTGGATATATCGTTTCGTAAGATCAAGTGATCTGTCCTAGGAGATATCAGTGCAATGAAATTGCATCACAATGCTTTTTGGGCCATTGTGATGTCATCAGTTACTATGACGTCACAATCAAATGACATCGCTAATCTCTGTGCTACTAAACCTGGTTAGATGTACTTTCTACACTCAAGGCAGTGGGCACTGCGGTTTGCAAGCTGAAAATATTGCAAGAATATTTTGGATGATAAATATAATCTCACCTTATTGTCTTTTGATATCATCTCATCTTTGTGTCTTTTGATATCAATCACTCGATAAAAGTTAAAAACACCTTGGCAAGCCCTAGAGTTTTAGCTGTTATTGATGAGCATTGATGTGATATCAAAAGGCATGATGATGAAATCCTCTGTATGTCATGCACTTTAACATTGCTGATGAATATAAACCTAATTTCCCCTGAAAATGTTGATGGTACTGTTGTAGGTGTTGAAGACGCGCACATGCAGAGTGTGCCGTGGGAGACGTCCATGGTCAATGAACTGGATCTCACTTCGACAGAGCTTTCAGCAGAGTGCTTGGAGAACGTGCTCACCCGGATGCCTGGGTTCACGTACCTTGGTCTCGGGCACTGCGAGTTCTTTTCAGATAAAGTAAGAAAACCTATTACCGTATTCAACGTTATAAGCGCCCAGGGTGCTCTCAAAATTAGAAATAGGGGGGTCTTTTTAAAATATTATTTTGGTGAAAGAAAACAGAGTTGAAAGATAAATTTCGTGGTTTATGCTGACAGCCTGAAATGTTTATGTATAGCAGATATATTTTTCTAGAATTTAATTGCCCATAATTAATGGTGCATATAAGACAGGAGTGCGTATTAAATGCAAATGAATAAGTCTTGTTTACATTGATCAATCTGAAGGGGTGCTAATTGGGATTGTTCACGTGCCAGTATATTAGCCGTATAGCCGTGGGCGCTAATAAGAGCAGGGCGCTTATTACGTCGAATACGGTATCCATAAGTACAGGACAGGTATAACTTTCTGTGCATATGTGCAGTTTTTTATTCTTAATACTGAGTTTACACTTGAAGCAACAGGATCGACTGAATACCATTTCTGAAGGTGACTAAACTGTACACAATGTGTGTTACAGCACAAAGATAGTGATAATGTGATGCTTTTAGCGATTTTACGAATGCTTCAATCACATTGGTCAAGGTGAGAAGGTACACTGACATGAAGGGATAAGCCAGTGTTAGGCACTTCCCTGAGTGGCATGGATGTCACCTGCCATGTCGACAAGACATGCTTGGACCATGACATGCTGCATATGGTCATGCTGGCAATAGGAGTTTGTATGCTTCTTTATGTAGGGAGGCCCTTTCCCAGGTTGATGTTTTTAAAAAGAAGTACCTGTTACATAAAATGTGCTTCCGCCAAGGGGAGCAGAAAGCCCATGACATATAGCATAACTTATCAGTAGGAGTATTTTATTTTTATAAGGTTTGCATATTTCCATGACTGTTATGATCACATCTGGTGATTTTGTCCAGGTATTGGAAAAGTTGATGGAGAAAGGCAAGTTCAACCGCCTCCAAGCCCTGGATGTGAGCCACACCCACGCTCTCTCCGAGAACACGCTGTACCAATTCCTGCAGCTCCACGGACCCAATCTCCGTGGCTTGATGTTGGCAGGGAAGCCCAAGCTTACAGAGAACTTCTGGCTGAATGTCATTCCATTCTTGAAGAAAATGCAGTACGTTTTTCAAGCTATTCCAACCCTGGTCATCTTATAAAATGTTGATTTGCTGGTACCAAGACAGTCATTTCAAACTACCATATTTGACGTAATAAGCACCCAGGGCGCTCTCAAAATTAGAAATAGTGGGCTCTTATTTGAATATGATTTTGGTGAGAAAAAAACGGAATTGAAAGATCGTAAATTTCGTGGTTTATGCTGACAGCCTGAAAAGTCTGTGCGTATTATACACAACAGATATATTTTCCAGAATTTAATTGCCCATAATTAAGGGTTCATATAACAAATGAGTGTGTATTATACACAAATAAATAAGTCTTGTGTACATTGATCAATCGGAAGGGGTGCTAATTGGGATCGTTCAACAGTCAATATATCAGCAAATATCGCTGTGACCGCTTATTAGAGCGGGGGCACTTATTACGTCGAATACGGTAATTCGTATTACTGCATGTTGTAGTTGGTCATGATAGTTTGTCCTGAGATAGACATGGCTCATAATGTCATTTCCACAAGGAACCACATTAAACATTTTACAAAACAATGTAAATCAGACTTCCAAGTTCTTGTTCATTTTAGAACCTATGAATCATTTCATTCTGTAGGGCACAAAGACATTTTGAAGGCAAAAGTCTGACCCATATTGGTAGAAACTGGAGTCAGTATTTATGATAATTTAGCCATGAGTGAGTGAGTGAGTATGGTTTTACGCCGCTTTTAGCAATATACCAGCAATATCATGGCGGGGGACACCAGAAATGGGCTTCACACATTGTACCAATGTCGGGAATCGAACCCGGGTCTTCTGCGTGACGAGCCAACGCTTTAACCACTAGGCTACCCGACCGCCCCAATTTAGCCATGAAGAGGTTGCTTGAGGGGACTTTATGACAAATCATGGGCTCCAAATGTAGAAATTGGTCTCCAAATTGATGTTGAGTTGTACGTTTTCTATTACCTTGAACACAGAAAAGTAGAACTTTAGGTTAGGTGGAAGACTTGTGCCAAGAAATTGTGAAAAATTGTTTTGTTAGAAGTAAAAGACAAGAAAAAGTTCAAATCCTTTTAAATTTGGTTTGGTCAGTCACAAAGGGCAAACATATCTTAATAAATACTTTTATAAATACTTTTATTCTGTATCTTTCTATATACTTTTATGAAGTGTTCGGTCTTGGCACTGCAAATGGTTGGTTCCTGAAGATGTCTAGGCACGTCCATGCGTTGTCCATTCTTCCAAATCTGTATCTTTCCCTATGTTTCTACAGAGTGTGTGGTCTTGGCACTGGAAATGGTTGGTTCCTGAAGATGTCTAGGCGCGTCCATGTGTTGTCCATACTTCCAAATCTGTATCTTTCCCTATGTTTCTACAGAGTGTGTGGTCTTGGCACTGCAAATGGCTGGTTCCTGAAGATGTCTAAGCGCGTCCATGCGTTGTCCATACTTCCAAATCTGTATCTTTCCCTATGTTTTTTCTACAGAGTGTGTGGTCTTGGCACTGCGAATGGCTGGTTCCTGAAGATGTCTAGCCGTGTCCATGTGGACCAGATCGTGGAGGCGTTCGCCCAACACTGCCCCAAGCTGCTGCGTGTGGAGATTCAGTGGGACCCGGACACCATCAGATACAGCGACAAGAGCAACAAGTTCATAGATCATCTCAGGTTCAACTTCAATTTCCTTACTTCAACCATGGTTGCAGCCATGGTTACAGCCATTATTACAGCTATGTTTACAGCCATGGTTACAGCTATGTTTACAGCCATAGTTACAGCCATGGTTACAGCTATGTTTACAGCCATAGTTACAGCCATGGTTACAGCCATGTTTACAGCCATGGTTCCAGCCATAGTTATAGCCATAGTTACAGCCATAGTGACAGCCATGGTTACAGCCATGGTTCCAGCCATAGTTATAGCCATAGTTACAGCCATGGTTACAGCCATAGTGACAGCCATGGTTACAGCCATGGTTCCAGCCATAGTTACAGCCATGGTTACAGCCATAGTTACAGCCATGGTTACAGCCATGGTTCCAGCCATAGTTATAGCCATAGTTACAGCCATGGTTACAGCCATAGTGACAGCCATGGTTACAGCCATGGTTACAGCCATAGTTACAGCCATGGTTCCAGCCATAGTTACAGCCATAGTTACAGCCATAGTTACAGCCATGGTTACAGCCATGGTTACAGCTTTTTAGGAAAGATATTTTGTCATCAAGAGTAAACATACAAGTGCAATTGAATGCTCCCTGTGAAGATTCAGGGTTAGAATTGGTCTTCAGCAACCCATGCTTGTTGTAAGAGGTGACTAACGGGATCGGGTGGTCAGGTTCGATGACTAGGTTGATGCATATCATTATATCCCAATTGTGTAGATCAATGCTCATGATGTCAATCACTGGATTGTCTTATTCAGACTTGATTATTTACAGACCGCTGTCATATAGCTGGAATATTGCTGAGTGCGGCGTTAAACAACAAACAAACAAAAGCAAATAAATGCCAATATTCCATGTTGCAATTTATGTTTGGTATTTGGGATATTTTTGTAGACAATTTATGACCAAATGAGTTATAGTGTTGTAATATATATATATACTTGGTTTGCCAGCTTCTAAATGTATAAGGGACTGGTCATTTATTAGGGGGGAATCATTGGAGGGTCATAAAGTTTTGGGTTATGCAAAAAAATATACGACGTGACGTGAGGAGAGTCATCCAAAAATATCACAAGCATTAAGGGTGGGTCATTATTTTCAGTAGATCAAAAACCTCTGCCTCCTCCCCCAAAATAAATGCACCCCTGCACGCCTCTCTGAATCTGCATATGTAGACGGCATTCATAAAATGTGGGTATATTTAATTTTGGTTTAATTTTCAGGTTGCGCTGCCCCCACTTAAAGTCCTTTACACTGAGTGATGGGGAGTACTACGAAATGGTCAAGTCAAATTTCGAGCGAGCTGACCGTCTGAAAGTTGTTCGGACAACCACCAACTACAGCACAAGTATCGTCTGCTTGCTGGCTAATTACAGTGACTTGTTGTTTAACTGATACAAGCGAACACGTGGCTGAATGATCTAACTTTCATTAGTGTATGTGGATTCAGTGGTCATGCCGTTTCCTAAAAAAAATGAGAAAATATTAAGACCATTATCTGGGACTCCTGAGTCTTTCTACCTGAGACTGGTCCCCTGGAACTGATCCTCTGTTGTAGGATGTTGAGCACAGAGTGGTCGGTCTCCTAAACACAGGCAGGGGTTAGGGTCATTACATCAAACCAAATATTTTCTTGTTTTAACTATGTATCAACATGCTAAGACAGGGTCAATAAAAATAATGGTTTTCAGGGTTAATTATAGGTTAATTACAAAATAACTTAAAAATGTTTTGCCAAGAAAAGTTACATTATGTTTTTTGTGGAATTGAGGTAAGGATTTCCTGATAGATAAGAAAAATACATTGGTGTGGCTTCAGAAATAGTACACCCTTTTCATGGTTCTGAAAACAAAGGTCTGTTGAACTATTTAAAACTAACAAGAACATAAAAAGGTCTGTTTCGTTAGAAAGTGGAAAAGGTCCTAGCTCTCTCCTCACCCTTAAGTCGATGAATCTAAATTTGTCATGAATGTTATATTGTCAAGGTGTATTGTAATCATGACACAGAACAGAATTTGATTGTATTGTCAAGGTCAACAATTATTATATGTTCAGATTCTGAATTAAGACCCAACTTGTACCACAAGTTAAGTGACACTGATGATGCACAAGCTGGCTGGCATTATTGTCATGGATAACATCAGTATGTGTGGTGTACTCTTCAAAATGTTGCCAAGAATAATGAACTCTAGACAATACCAACCAAAACCTTTGAAAGAAAAAATAAGTTTGAATTAATAATGTTTTTCAGTAACATATAGGAATACCAGAAATACATATTACTCAAAAGAAGTGTAAAGGACCACAATTGGCTGTCATGACAGATTAACTATCGTAATATGTAAGAAGCGGTGGTCCTTAACTTCTTTTGAGTAGTATATGCCAGACATTGATGGTACAGTGTTATGTATGGCTCGTATGATCTCACAATACTCTAATGATTTTAGACTGACTGTCGTTTCTTGATGTAAAATCCAAATGGCTGAAGAAATCGAAATGTTGCCTGTTTCTGTAGTCTGGTACTGCAGCAGTAATAAGGATGTCATTGACATCAATAGGTTCAACTTGGGCTTCCTCTATGATCAAAGCTGACCTGTATCAGCCGGTCGCACAGAAACTCTGAAATAGTATCTCATCATTTTCAATTTATTATTCCATAATGGTTAAGATAATAAATATAGTGTTTGATCTTGTAATCGTTATAGACGCCCATCACGGTTTGATTCCCAATACTGCTGGATTCAGTGCAACCATTCATGTCATACTTTGAGATCATTTTCTAAAAAATCGCTACAATGAACAAGAAAAGTTAGGATCATGAATATTTTGTGGGATATTTTTATTTAATTTTTTGTTGTCATAACAGAAATATGTCCCCCAAATATTCATGATCCGTAACCTTTTTTTTTCAGGAAATAATCATGTATTTTGAATCAGGGCTATTAAGACAACTGTTCATCAATGTAACATTTCAGAAAGAGATCTGCTGGTGATTAAAAGAAATAGTTTATGGGCTCTTTTTCTAAATTGTCACTTTTTGTTTTATTAATTACTTTAGAGATTTCCAGAGTTTAAAAATCAGGAAAGTAAAAAAATTAATATATTCTCAATTGAAAGGTTTTTTTTTTACTACCGAGTCTGATACATCATTTAGCAATAAAATATATCTCAATTATTTTCATACATGTCCCAACACAAGCTATTAAAACTCACTATGACAGTTGTTCACAAACTGGGCTATCATGACACTGAATTATAATTATTATTATCTTTAAACCTACTGACCATATGTTTACACAAAAGGCAAAAAAGAAATTGAAAGTTTTTTGGTTTTTTTAGCACTGACTTTACGTTTCAAGAGCATAAATCCATAAAAAAAGGCCTAAGTGATTGTTGCATCTCTCCACAATGCAATCTTAATTACTGCGACCATTATAAATTAATATGTCGTATACACACTTTTGAGGCCTTTCTTATACATAGATAAATGAACACCAACGCACAAACACAACCAACTACACCGGTGTCGAAATGAAAGAGGTGGATGCACAGGTCAAGGTCAAGATGTAGGTACAGAACTTGATGCATAATGCCGATGCAACGTTAAATTTTAACTCACTCACTCACTTGATGCACGAGGTTAATAAATCACTCGGAGATGCCCGATGACAATCAAATGGTTCATGTTGATAGGGGATTTCAGCTATTTGACAGAAAGTGTTTGTGGGAATAATACACGATTACGACAAAACAGTGACATCACAAGAATTTTTTATTATGGGATAGAACTGTCATAGCTCTACAAGTATTTTGTGGAATAGGGCCCTGTTAAGCTATGACAGTGAGATGAAATATGGCTGTCAAAATAAAAGTGTTAAGAAGTTGAACTTGCATGGAAACTTCACCATGTAAGTCAGGTCCGACACATTTTTTCACATTATCAGTGTTCACTCCTATATATTTCTACTTCAGTCTCAGTTAAGAGATGTTTTTATGTGTATTTTTCACTGAAGTGTGAATGACTTTATTTGTAAATATACCGTTTATCATGTAATTTATTTTCCACATTGTCTCAAAACTGGACTGAGGTATTTTTTTAGCTAATGTGTTCTTCCATGTGTTATGGTGTACTTTATAAAAAAATCTGCAAAAAAACTCAAATGGGTTCCGAGTAAACGAAAGAAAATTAAGTATAATAAAACAATGAAATTTTCGAAAGTATTTTCAAATGTTATTTTCAGAACATATTATTTCATGTGTAAACATCGTAATTATTTGAAACATCTAGATTATTATTAGTTTTCTAGACTGGATCCAGTCTTTATTTCACATACCTATAACTTTGATTACACCATGTTGTATTTGTTGTTTTATTGTAAAAACGCCAGGAAACAAGTTATTAAAACTGACATTTCATTAATATATATCATGAATTTTCAATAGTATTTAATATATACTAATAAGCTGAGATTAACCAGAGAAAACTGAATTTCTATTAAACCCCATACATTGTTCCATCATTTTATGGGCACGTCAGTAAGCCATATCATGGAGAAACATGTCATTATTTTGAAAGTCTTTTTTGGTTAGTGTATGTACTATGAACTTAATTCTTGCCAGTTTGGCTTGGAGTTGTTGATTTTAGTTAATTATCTGTTTATGGGTTATTTATTTATAGAATCAGGTGATAATTACTTAATATTGCTCACGATGATTGTTAGACCACTTGTTGAGGTGATATTTCCTACTTCATAAATTGACAGATTGGAGAACATTAGATATGACTATATTAACATGAATTGGGATATTTTATATTTCAATTTGGGAATTCTTTCTGACATTTGCTGCAGACTTGCGGCAACATATTGGCCTCTGAGCAGGGTTGTATGAATCCCTGGGTGTGTTGGTTCATTGTCTTCTGTTATGGACAGTTACATGACGTTACAAATATAGCATTATCATGTCAACTAGACAAGTCAACGCTGTCTGCTTTTGGTTGTTGTTTAACGCAGCAATCAGCAAAATTCCAGCATTTATGACGGTGGTCTGTAAGTAATCGGGTCTGGACCAGACAATCCAGTGATTGATAGCATGAGCATCAATCTACGCAATTGGGATATGATGACATGCATCAACCAAGTCAGCAAGCCTGACAACCCGATCCTGTTAGTTGTCTCTTATGACAAGCATAGTCGCCTTTTACGGCAAGCATGGGTTGCTGAAGACCTATTCTAATCCAGGATCTTCACAGGTCAGTCAACACTGAAAAGATGGTCAAGTGAAATTGAAATCCACTCTTTTAGCAAATGCTTGTCAATGCAAGTTACAAGCAAATGTATATATATCATTTGAATGTTTTTTTTAAAAAACAATATATTTTAAGGAGGAAATGGTAATACTATTCATGATAATAACTTTTTTTGAAAATATATAATTGTTATTTATTGATAAGGGAGCAACCATTTGATGTTCAGTTGGCAGGAGGAGGGCGGGGGTTGATTCTATAAATCATAAAGCCTGTTTTACTGATAGGAGAAATGATAATGTGCCCTTTTCTTGCAGACGAGTGCCCAAAGAATAGTTTGTTATTTTTCATTTAACTAAAACTGAAATAATGACCAGTTTGAAACATTAAAAAGTAAATAAATCGCAAACCAAACCCACCCACCCCCAAGAAATCAAATGGATGCTCCCTAACTTGAGTAAAGGTTGCCAGTTAAAATGTGCAATATTTTCACTATTCAGATGTAGCACTGGTCTGTTGCTGTGTGATAGTATTTATTATTTATGATTTGTTCTCCAGCATTGTTTGTTATCTATGATGTATCATGATATTAATATATACAAGATTATATTCAAGTGTGAAATGTCAACCAAGTTGACAACAAATGAAACCTTAATCAAATGTCACATATGATGTGCTGATGTTCTTGGCGTTTGGTTGCATGCACGCAACGTGAAGTCAGCACTGGAAGGTCAAGATTTGTGTCTTTGATTGGTGCGTAACACCGCACTCAGCAATATTCCAGCTATATGGTGGTCTGTAAATAATCAAGTCCAGACCAGACAATCCAGTGATTGATATCATGAGCATCAATTTACGCAATTGGGATACGATAACTTGCATTATGCAAGTCAGCGAGCCTGAACACCCGATCCCGTTAGTCGCCTCTTACGACAAGCATAATAGGTTGCTGATGACCAATTCCAACCCGGATCTTTACGGGTCGGAAGGTGAAGAGATCCAGTTGTGTTCAACATGCAGCGTGACCTGTTTATCCATGACACAATTCAGATTGTTACAAAGTTCTTACAAGGCTCAGTTTATTATTAGTATCATTATTTAAAGGGATTAACAATCTAATTAATGCTCGCATTTATAGGAAGAGGCCATGCAAGTGTCATGTTTTCCCCTCGTGTGATAGAAAGTATGTTTTAAACTAGCCGATAATGTACTAGAATCTGCCAGGCATACAAGAATGCTAAACTGTACCCAAGTGGCATTTTTGTACCGCTGTAAAACAAAAATGTCTCCCAGAAATATGCTGTGCACAGCATGGTTTGTCTTAAACATTCAAATGATGCTGTTGTAGCAGCAATATTGCCATCTGAGGTGTAAAACCCCACCGAATGTACTCTTGAACTCCACTGACTAGATTGAAACCTCACTGGTGTAAACCCCACTAGACGTAAAATCTCATTACGGTGCAAAACCCCACCGACTGTGATGTAAACTCCTACCGACTATGGTGTCTGTATAAAACTCACCGACACAAACTGTCCACCACTCGCACAAAGTCACAAATCTGATTATGTAGAGGAGTCCTGTAGACCGCTTGGTTCCCACAAGCTTTACCAGGGGCTAGGGAGTTATAACATTCACCAGTAACCAGTGCTTGACCAGTGTTGTGAAGCTGTCAATTTGTACATCAGATATTTTCTATTGTTTTGATTGTTCCTAGAAGGCCAGAGAGTTTTAGTAACATGTACCTTTACTTTTACCACACAGTTCTGTCCTTTTGGATATGTGGAATGTTTTATTTGGAAATAAACCCTCAAATGGGAAGCCGAGTCTTTTTTCTTTAGATGATGTCATCCGTAGAACCCCTTAGAGGCAGACCATTTTATCTTCAGTGACTGTTTGTTTGATGTACTCAGCAATATTCCAGCTATATGAGTGAGTGAGTGTTGGGTTTAAACCCAACTTCACTTTTAACAGTATTGCAGTTATATCACAGTGTCGGCTTAATGTGGGAGGAAAAGCCGAAGTGATGCAGGTCTCGGACGCTTACCACTTCAGTGAAACCCACAAGCACGGTATGGTGCTGACAAACCTAGAAACATAACCAGGGCGAACCGGGATTCGAACCCACAATCATGTTTCAGGTGTGCCAAAGAGCAACTCTGCATAACGATTTGCGGCACCTTAGACGACTGGGCCATCCGCACACCCTCCAGCTATATGAAGGCAGCCTGTAAATAAGTCTGTACCAGACAATCCGGTGATTGAGCATTGATCTATGCGTTTGGGATATGATGACATGCATCAACCAAGTCAGCGAGCCTGACCACCTGATCCCGTCGCCTCATACGACAGCATTGGTTGCTGAAGACTAATTCTAACTATGATCTCCATAGGGCTTCATACATAGTACCCATCTGGGGAAACTGAACCCATGTCTTCAGTGGAATGAGCGACCGCTTTAACCATAAGGCTACCTAGCTTTCTCCAGAGGGGGGAATCCTATGAAATGCATGTGTATGAGCATGTTTTGAACAGTATTTCAGTTATTGGTCTATTAATTCTATAGTTAGAGAGGAAAACAAAAGTTATTCCAGCCATAATTGTCAAAACAAGGAGTACCGTTATATGGTATACACTGACTGACCAAGGATAATAATTTCATGATTAATCTTGATTTGAACCCATTCATTGGATCCAGACCAATTGCAACCAGTTGTGTCACTGCAGTGCCCTTGTTTTAGAGGACAGGTTTTACCTTTGCTCTCAGCATATCTCATAATCCATGAAATACATTACAACAGAAAGGGAAACTCATGCATTTGCAGGGGGCGGGTGTTCACCCCACTTTTCAAAATCCTGGATCTCCCTCTGCTACTGCATTTATTTCAATTGACTAGCAAGCTGTTATAGCCCCAAATGACAGGAAGGACTATTAAATTGAAAGAAAAACTTCCCAGCCATCAGATCCCTACTGGAACATGACAGCAGTGCTCTCCCTTTGAGTATCTTTAGAATCATCACAATGGAAGATGAATGCTGACAGGGAACTGTGCTTTGGGTGCTTTGAACCTGAATTGAGACATACGCTGATCGACGATCTGGTTTTGTTTCCTCAAAGTGACTGATTTCGTGTTGTTACCCTGCCTGGCCTCCATCACAAAGGAATGTTTTGCTCTGCGTGAGGTGGGTGTTAACTGCAGCATGGTATCTCGGTACGCTACCACTCTAAAACCGGCATATAAACACACACACACGCACTTGCTAGATGCAATATTCTTGAACGTCACGCGAGCACACACACACACACAACATCAGCGTGCCTAAATAGTGTTGTAAATTTGTAGATGAAACTTGAAGACTCGGTCGAGTTGAGTGATTCTTTGCACTCATAAAGGAATGGCGGCTGGGAATGTTATTGCAAGTATTGGACATTATATTGATAAGGATACGTTTATGGTGTCCTTAAATAAAGTAGAATGCACTTCGTGTGATAATACAAATATTCATCTCTCACAATTACTGCATGACAAGTAGGCCCTAGTTGTTTATAAAGATGAATCTCATCAATCTAGCAATCGCACAAGACACCACTGCCTATCGCTTGCCCGATACACATACTCCATTACAGTGCATCGCGGCAGAGAGCTTTACCTCAGCTCCGGTACAAAGCGTGCAGCAAACGCTATGTATACACGGACGGTGTTGTGATTTAATTCACTGCGAGGAGCTTGCTGAGTTGAAATAAAACCGATCAACTCGACCAGTAATAACAATCCATATTTTGTACAGGCGTGAAACAGATATGCGCAAGTGAGTGAGTTGGGTTTAACGCTGCTTTTAACAGTTTTCCAGTTATATCGCGGCGTGTCAGCTTAATTTTGGGAGGAAAGCCCAGAATGATGTTTGGCTCAGACGTTTACCACTTCGGTGAAACCCACGAGCCCTGATATGGTGCTTACACACCAAGAAACATAATCGGGGCGAACCGGGATTCAAACCCACAATCATAGGTTTCTGGCGTGCCCAACGGACGCAACTCCGTACCCTTAAAATCGCGGCGCCTTAGACGACTGGGCCACCCGTGCCCCCAAAACAGATATGCGTACCTCCATACATTTTATGTTCTATATTAAGTCATTGCAGAATCTGTGCAGTAGTCACCGGAAGTATTTAGGATATTCATATATTGCTTTACTTTAATATGATCTTTTTTTTCAGGAATAATAATGGATGTATTCGCTTGTGGGTTTAATGGATTTCAACAAATATCTCAACTACAGGAACTGGACGTTCAAAAGAAATCTACACAGGTCAATGTGCCACCATATTTTGACAGCCCAGTCAAACTGAATGTGACAACAGACAGTCTGTCCAGTTCACGATGTTTGATCACGTGGTCAAAACTGCGTTTCCTACGCAACAAAGGTACTTTGCAAATCAGTGAGTCGTATTATATCTATAAATGTATAACCGGATCTTTGATTGCTGTTACCATATCCCCTCATCAGGGCCCACTTGCACAAAGCGATCTTAGCGCTAAGATGATCGTAACTCCCATACTTTAACATAGGCTTACGATATGAAATTTACTATATTTCTTTTATATATATATATATCATATATGTACTATATGGTTTTCTGTTTATATCACTTATTTTACGTGCAATAGTTCTGTTAAAAGTCTCTGGGAACATGGTTGGGTTGGTTGGGTTGTTGTTTAACGCCGCACTCAGAATATTCCAGCTATCTGACGGCGGTCTGTAAATAATCGAGTCTGAACCAGACAATCCTGTGATTAATATCATGAGCATTGATCCACGCAATTGGAATCGTTGACATGCATCAACCATGTCAGCAAGCCTGACCACCCGATCCCGTTATAGTCGCCTTTTACGACAAGCATAGTCGCCTTTAACGGCTTGATGAAGACCTATTCTACCCCGGATCTTCACGTGTTTCTTGGAACATGGGGTTTATGGGTAGTTGTATAGGATATTCATGCATTTCCAATTTTCTGTGACAATACATTTTTAGAACATGTGTTTTAAACATTCCCGTTATGTTGATAGTTGTTCAGCTTTATTTTTTAACGAAAACCTTAAATTCATAAAATGTATTAAAAAAATTGTCACATTAATGAAAGGGAGACCTGTGACCCGAATAGTCTACATCGCTTCTTCCACGGTGTTTATGAATTCAGTAAGTACGGGAGGTAACAGCATATGAGGCAAAACAATAGGGAAACATATAATAGTAGAACTTGTGAATGAATAATTCATTCGAACCAGTATTGTTTTTTTTCAAAATGTGTCTGTGTTTATATAACATTCTGAATATTTTATTTCTATTTGTTATAGTTTTCTAAAAAGTATGTGGGACTCGTGGGTAGTTGAAAAATGGCCTGGTGGATAATTGAATAGAAAGTACATGTATTTCAATTTTAAACAATTGTTTATAACATGCCAGGTCTAGTAGTTCTTAAAATTCTCGATATTTTGTTAGTTGTTCAGTTTCAGTTTTATTCAAACCCTGAAAGACGTGGTATTTGTTTTACAGTTTAGCGCAAAAATGAGAGGGAACCAGTTTTCCGAGAAGGCTATGGGTGCATCTATCTTTTTTAAACAATTGTTTATAACATGTCACAATTAGTCTACGCGTTCTTAAAAGTATCATTATGCTGCTAGTTGTTCAGTTATATATTTTTTAAACCCTGAAATGAAGGACATTTGTGAGAAAGTTTACCGAAAAGTGAGTGAGTGAGTGAGATGGGTTTAACGCCGCTTTTAACATTATTTCAGTTATATCGCGGCGTGTCAGCTAAATGTGGGAGGAAAGCCCGAAGTGATGCAGGTATCAGACGTTTACCACTTCGGTGAAACCCACGAGCACGGGTATGGTGCTGACAAACCTAGAAATATAATCTGGGCGAACCGGGATTCGAACCCACAATCATAGGTTTCTAGCGTGCCCAAGGGACGCAACTCTACACAGCGAATCGCGGCGCCTTAGACGACTTGGCCACCCGTGCCCCCTTTACCGGAATAATTAAAGGGAGGGAGTGCCCAAGTGTCGGTTTATTACAAGCGGAATGCTGTTTGATCTAGTTTCAGCCTGAAAAGGCAACTGCGCTCATTTACTGTGGAAAGACCAAGTATGTATGGGAGGTAATCGCATAGACGTCAAAAACATGTTTTAAGATGTAAAACAGGAAATGAATTGAATCCGATATTGTTCATACTGTTTGAAACATGCCTGTGTTGATTAAATATTTTGAGGAAATTATTTTAAAGTAAATATTATTTGCGGTACAAAGAATTTGCCGCCGTGGTGAAGTATCGCATCAAAAGTTTTCTTGTTATGACTGTCACTACTGTGGTACGAAGAGCTTGGAATGGATGCACGGTAACCATTGGACCAAGTAACTGTAGTAATATCCTTTGTGAACAAACTCTCAGACGAGGCCGACACCTGGGTTTGATTCCAATATGCATGGGTTCAATATGTGAAAGGCGACTATGCTTGTCGTAAGAGGCGACTAACGGGATCCGGTGGTCAGGCTCGCTGTCTTGGTTGATACATGTAATCGCGTCATGATGCCAATCACTGGATTGTCTGGACAAGATTCGATTACTTACAGACCGCCGTCATATAGCTTGAATATTGTTGAGTGCGGAGTTAAATAACAAACAAACAATATGTGAAAGTTATTAATGGTGTCCATCCTTGCTGTTGATGAAATATTGTTAGAAGCCTTTTAAATCATGAACACGCACGCACGCACGCACGCACGCACGCACGCACACCATTCATGAACGTCGTGATTAAATTCCCATTTCACCATCTCAGCACCTCTTCTCACAAAAGTCTGACACACCGTATTCTGGCTGTTTTGAAGCATCACTCCCCGGATAATCATTCACAAAGTAATGATCGATACTTTCAGATGCAGAAAATATATGTGCATCTAAGTTTAATTTTCGAAACATTCACGTTCAACCTTCCTCAGAACATATTTTGCGCTTAGAAAGGGCAACGTAAATACGGGGGTTTCTGAACAAATGGAACTATTAAGTTTAAGTTAAACCAATCTTAGAAATCCTTTATGTCACATCGAGCCTTTTATTTTAAATATTTCTTACATGTAAAGTCATGATATGATCCAATGTACAAACCGGGAAGATCAGCAGTTTTTGACACATTATATTTTTATTTGTGCAATTTGGTGGTGTTACAATATATCCCAAAACACGAAAATTAAAAAAATTAAAAATAAACTTTTTTTTGTATTGGGACTTCAAATGATTTGCAATTTGGTAGTGTTACAATAAATCCCAAAACACGACAATATAAAATAAATAAAAATAAACTTTTTTTGTATTGGGACTTCAAATGCTTTACAATTTGGTGGTGTTACAATAAATCCCAAAACACGAAAATTTAAAAAAAAATAAAAATAAACTTTTTTGTATTGGGACATCAAATGATTTGCAGAAGAAATTTAAAAACTTTTGTACCGGATTATTTAAATATCGTGGGTCAAGAAAGGGGCCTCATGACTCGTTGTGTGATCTTGGTCTGACGTTGGGCCGTGTATTGAGGGTGTGTTGTTTCAGAGTCTGGTGACACGGAAGAGTTGCGTGGTCCCGTGGCGGGCTCCTGGGACAGAACGGTGTACAGGACAGCAACAGGTCAATATCACATCGGGGACGGGGACGGGGATGCCGTGCCCCACCCCACAGTACGTGTAGACGTGGGCCCTCGGGTAGACCACGTTGTTGGCGGGGAGGACAGGCTGTATTGTATACATGGTACGTGTGTAACACTCCTACAGTATAGTTCTGGGCGATGGGGTAACATAGTGGTTAAAGGTTCGCTCGTCACTCCAAAGACCCGGGTTCGATTCTCCACTTGGGTACAATGTGTGAAGCCCGTTTCTGGTGTCCTGATATTGCTGGAATATTGTTAAAAGCGGCGCAATCTTATTAAAATCAGATCTTAGTTCTCGCTGCCGCTAAACAAAGATCTGAGGACATCCAATTACGGGTCACGTCAGACCGACCTTTGGCAAACTCTGACCGACCAATGGAACTACTGACAAGAAGTCGACATTAGCCAATCAGAACGCAGCTTTCTCGTGCTTTCCGGCACTAATTTCAAATTGGCGATTACGCTTCGAAACATACTTTGACAAATTCTCGCTTAAAAAATGAAACCCGAACAAAAGAACGTTCTAGAATGGCTAAAATATGGTCTAGATTGTATAAATTCAGTCTTTAAGCCCGTAACTATCGTTCGGAATACCCCGTTTTAACGTTTTCGAGGCTGCATGATTAGAAATCACATTCCGACTGTCACTTTCATGATCTGGTAAGCGACGCTCTGATTGGTCGGATGAAAGGTCGTTCTGACGTGAACCCTAATGGGATGTCCTCAGATCTTTGTTTAGCGATAGCGAGAACTCAGATCTGATTTTAATGAGATTGAAAGCGGCGTAAAACCATACTCATTCACCCATTAGTATTGTTCAGTGTCATGGCTATTTATAATAAGTAGACTTATATAACAACTAAACAATATTTTATCATTTATAATGGTGTACGTAAAAGTTTCCTTCATATTTTTTAATTTTTAAACATATGTTCTGTAATTAAACTTCAAATCACAGCCTTTTCTCAATGCTTTTGTGATTTGTTTTAAGTAGTATTCGGGATTCAAGAGTGAGCATTGAGACTCCGAGTGAATTTCTTTTTATAGTATTCGGGGTTCAGGAGAGGAGGGATTTGCACCCTCATTGATGCAAGTTGTGACGAATAGGGGACGCGTCTTCTTACAAGTTGTATGTAACGGACAGGTGCAGTCACGGTGACAAAAGGAGGATAGAAGTTCAATTTAATATTTGAAGTACTTGTACTGGTTTCTAAACGAACTCTCTAACCTTACCCTTGACGTATGTAATTGTTTTGTGACTGGTCATTGCAGATGGCGGAAGATTATCAGAGATCGTGGAGGGTGGCGCTATCAGTAGAGGGACAACAGAGGGCCATGACCCACGTAAATGTAGTGATGGAAAGGTTGCGTTTATGAGACAGGTTTTTGAAGCTTGTCCAGTCACAAGCCTGTCTTGCGGCAAAGAACACGTTCTCTTCCTCACAGAAAACGGCCATGTTTTCAGTTTTGGACTTGGTAGGTAAGTGGTTCAATTATGGTGTGGCCATGTGTACCGTTAGATTCAACTCGAATAATAATAATTTTATTAAATACTAGACTTATCTTTTTACTTATACTGAAGCGGGTGAATACAGAGGAAGGTCCTCACCTGTCGTCTTCGAAAGGAGACGATGGGGAATATACTGTAAATCGTGAAATTAATGCGTCTCCAAAAGAATGCGACCGCTTGCCCCTAGCCAAAAATGCGACTCAATATGAATGCGACATTTACTGTCGTCCTATAACTGAAATATTGAGTACGGCGTTAAACAACAAAACAAATAAAAATTCGGTTATTTGCTGAAACTATATTTCACTTAGCACAATTTCACCATGTAATCGAATGATTTACAGAGAAACAGCGATATTCCGTGGTGGCCGTTCCTAGCCTCCTCAATAACAGCATTTTGTATCTCCGTTATACCCTGAGAAAATATCCATTACTGACCCGCTACTATATCTTCGTTTTGAGTCCGAGTTTAATGTCACGTCACTACAAATAGCCGCCACATCGCACTGAACTCGTGCACGGACGAAAGAAATTCTGTGCGAAGTTACTGATAAGAAAAACAATGTCACTGATTTCGTATTTCCTAGTTTTTTGTGTGTTGATCGTTAAATAAGCAGGCTATGAAGTTATTATTGTTCGCGTATTTATTCATACGTTTTTCTTTTGAGTTTATGGAGTTATAAACGTACAAGTGGCCTGCACACTGTGTAAATACTTTACCGGATTTACCGAAAGTGTTTTCACGTTTATACATCAATAAACGAAACAATATATATGATGCTATATATATTGAAGTCAATTATTACATATTCCTTTAATTATGACTGGGTCCTTTGTGTGTGACAAGTTTTTATATGAGTCTTCTTCTTATTAATGACATTGTATAGTTTCTCGTCATGATATGGCAGTAATATTGCCGATGTGGCGTAAAATATTAACTGGACTTCCCCAACAGTACTGGTATGAAAGCGGGTTACCAGACTAACGGTGACCAGACTAATGTTGACCAGACAAATGGTTCCCAGACTAGCGGTGACAAGACTAACGAGGACCAGACTGACGGTGAACAGACTAATGTGGACCAGACTAACGGGGCCAAGAGTAACGGTGACCTGACTAACGGGGACCAGACTAACGGGGCCCAGACGAACGGGGACCAGACTAACGGGGACCAGACCAACGGGGAACAGACTAACTGTGACCAGACTAATGGTGACAAGACTAACGGGGCCAAGACTAACGGGGCCCAGACCAACGGGGACCAGACCAACGGGGACCAGAACAACGGGGACCAGACTAACTGTGACCAGACTAACGGTGACAAGACTAACGGGGCCAAGACTAACGAGGACCAGACTAACGGGGGCCAGACTAACGAGGACAAGACTAAAGGGGACCAGACTAACGATGACGAGACTAGCGAGGACCAGACTAACTGTGACAAGACTAACTAGGACCAGACTAATGGTAACAAGACTAAAGGGGTTCAGACTAACATGGCCCAGACTAACGGTGACAAGACAAAGGAGGACCAGACTAATGGTGATAAGACTAACGGGGTTCAGACAAACATGGCCCAGACAAACTGGACCCAGACTAACGGGGCCCAGACTAACGAGAACCAGACTTAAGGGGTTTCACTGTGTGTTGTCAGCCGTGGTCAGCTGGGTCACGACACCGTGGAGGAGGAGAAGGAGCCGAGGATGGTGGACTGTCTGGACGGCCTCTGTGTGGTGGGCGTGGCAGCCGGAGGGTGGCATTCAGCTGCTGTCACAGGTACTATATATACCGACTGTGTGGAGAAATACAGTGCACTGTCTACATTGAGGCAAGCGGCGGTGGAGCCAGGTGGTAAAAGTGTTCACTTGCCACGCCCTCAATGTCTCAAAGAAGACTTTTTCTAATATAAAAGCAAGACTAATCGGAAAGATATAGGCTGACAAGTATAACACGTATTAACAAAAGATAAAATATTATCCATGCCAGACTCACGACTCATTCGTGACCAACTCGTGTTATTCCGAGACAAGCCGAATTGCGACACGTGCCCCTTTCATGGCCATTTTTGCGACCAGGTTCGCATAGGTACATAACTGAAAGAATTGTCTTGTCGTTGCGTAATGATTCACGTATATTACCCCAGCAATTTATAACAGATCGGGACAGTATGATTGAACACATTTAACTGTATCTTGGGTTATATTTTTAGATGCAAGACATACGTAAAATGAAAAATTATTCCTGAGGGATTCTTTGACCGAAGAACATTCTGATTGGTTTACGGTACTTTCGCACATAACATTCATCGATAGGGGGACGAGTCTTCTTGCAGGTTACGGAAAGGGGCGAGTAGTGACGAATGTCTCACGACTACCAAAGACATGCTATGATATGATATTGTTAGATATGAGTCATGGTAACAGAAATTGGACGTCAAAGCTGAGAAATGTATTATTTAAAATGGGATTTGGCTAGGTTTAGGATAATCAGCGTATTGGTATAGTATTCAATCATTTTTATCAGATTTTATAGTAAGAGCAACATGTATTTATCAGCAAGACTGGCATGCATCCTCGTCACATGGTGCAAAAACATTCAATTACAGTAAACTACGGTTATAACGAATTCAAAGGGACTACTAATTTTAGTTCGTTATAACCATAATTCGTTATAAGCATTTATACAGCATAACTACAGCATATAGTCGGGTATGTACGGTGTATGCCGAATTGCGTGAACAGTATATTCCAAGAAACTACTACGTATTTCTTACATTACATAAATTCAATGTCTTGATGTCAAGTAATAAATTTGATATAAGAAATTAATACATGTATATTTATAAGTCTATGCAATTAAGGACAAAACTGCTGATGTAGATTTCAATAACAATAATGGCTGCTGTACAACTGCTGTGACATGGGCCGATGGCCTACGTGACCTTACTGAATAAACAACAATAAAAATAACAACAAGTACAAAATACAAACATGATTACTTGAGTTTGTAAGACGAGTCATTTATATAATTCGGAGGACTCACAATTAACTAATGTAACCTGGCACGTTAGGACATTCTTGGTACCCAAACCTAAGCTAAGTTAAGAAGCATCATTATTTCACATTAATCTATTCTTTTATTATTCTGTTTGTAAGTTTGTTAAAAGTCTGTGGGGATATTCGGGTTTATGGGTAATTGTATCGAAAATCTAAGCATTTGTAATTTTGTCTTCAATTGTCTGTGACAATTCATTTTTGATATGTGTGTTTAAAAAAAAAATGTACTGTGTTAAGCTTTGCAGACCTTATGATAGGACCTGTTCAGATAAAATAAATGGTTACGATGCATGTATTAAAGTGCTATTATTTTGTCTTTTGTATTTCTAACGGACACAATTACGGTTTGCTGTTATTTTAGGTGGTTGATATAATCTTTGTTTGTAGCTAGTGGTGATCTGTTTACATGGGGGTGGAATGAGAGCGGCCAACTTGGACACTCGACTGGGCATCTGTGTGGAACAGATGTCACTGCAATACACGACGAAGGCATGGAAGGGACAGCTAGAGACTCGCCAAATCTTGCTGAAATCAGCCCCATCAAAGCTACTGATCCTGAATCAATTCAAGTCAAAGGTGCAGACCAAGAAGGTGGTCAGACACAAGGGACTGTTAGAGTCACACAGATTCACGGAGGCCTTCCCGTTAATGCTGACGAGCAATGTTCCAATCCAACACAGAATCCTTCAGTCTGTTCGGATCCCCTCAATACAGAAACAGCGGGCACTGATGCCAGTAGGGAACCTGCTGAACCTCTGAACACCATCATTACCAGTGTCGCGGGACAGGAGGCTGGACGTGGAGATGGTGCAGGACATGACAAGGTCATAGATGAGGAATATCCGAAGGTCATAGATGAGGAATGTGGGAAGGTTAGGGGTGAGGAACATGGGAAGTTTGTAGATGAGGAACTTGGGAAGTTTGTAGATGAGGCCAGAGTGTTGCTGATAAGCTCCCCGTTGTTGGTGACGTCACTGCCAGACGACTACACTGCTGTCAAGGTGTCGTGTGGATCTCGCCACACTGCCGTTGTTACAGGTATGTTTTGCCATGTGTTTTGATTTTTGTTTGTTTGTTTGTGTGTTGTTTAACGCCGCACTCAGCAATATTCCAGCTATATGACGGCGGTCTGTAAATAATCGAGTCAGGACCAGACAATCCAGTGATTGATAACATGAGCATCGATCCACGCAATGGGGATCGATGACAAGCATCAACCAAGTCAGCGAGCCTGACCACCCGATCCCGTTAGTCACCTTTTACGAGAAGCATAGTCGCCTCTTACGGCAAGCATGGGTTGCTGAAGACCTATTCTACCCCGGATCTTCACGGGCCCCATGTGTTTTGAAGCCTAATAAGGGACATTAGATGGTCTTGACACTACTAAAGCAGGAAGAGCAGCTGTACAAGATACCGCATTTCGCTGTGCAGAGTTGCGTCCCCTTCGGCACGTCAGATTCCTATGATCGTATGCTGGTTCGGTTATATTTCAAGTATTGTAATTATCCCGTGAGTTTCACCACAGTGAGACCTGCATCACCCCCCCACACACACACACACACAGGAATTAAGCTGACAGACACTCCGTGATATCAATATTGTGGCATGAAACCCAAACTCGAACATCCCTTTGTTTGTTTCTCTTGTTAGGACTGTTGTCAGAGAGCAGAGCCAGTGACTTTACTACTGCCCATCTGCATACCTGTTAACATAAATAATCTGGCCAATGAAGTAAGCTCAAGGCCGTTCCACCCTTCACCTCAAAATTTTTATTTCATCCAACTTGAAGCAATTATTTAATGAGTCAATGACTTTGTCATATAGTTCTTGATACTTTTAGTGTACTTTTTTCAGATGACGGTGTTTTATATACATCAGGCTGGAACAAGTACGGTCAGTTAGGTCAAGGTCACACAAGGCCATCTGATGTCTTCAAAGCAGTGTCCTTGACTCCTGTCAACGTTATTGACGTGAAATGTGGATGTTGGAACACTGTGATTTTTTCAGAAAATGTCACACTCTCCAGTACACAACACACTCCAATTTGATGCAATCTCATTCAAATCAGATCTTAGTGCTCGCGAGCGAAAAAAGGTCAAAGGACATCCCATTTCAGGTTACGTCCTTTGGCGAACTTTGACCGACCAATGAATAGACTGACATGATATCGACATTAGCCAATCACAAAGCAGCATTCTCGAGCTTTAAGGTCCTAGTTTCAAACTGGCGACTTCCATTCCAGACTTCGCTTTGAAAACTATTTTGATAATGTTCTCGATTCACAATTTGAAAACTAAACAAACGAAAATTATGGAATGTCTAATATATGTGTGATATTGTATGGCAATACTACCCACGGGATGTGGAAAGCCTCTTCCGTTTCAAATACTTGTCCGACACATTCCGACTGTCACGTTCCCGACCTTGTAAGCGACGCTCGATTCGATTGGTCGAATGAAAGGTCATTCTGACATGACCCGTTATGGGATGTGCTCAGATCTTTGTTTAGCGGGAGCGAGAACTGAGATCTGAGTTTCATGTATTGATGTTGATGACACGCGGGTATAGTTATTGATAGAAGGGAATTGACTGTGGTGTATGGACTTCTTTGATATCTACCATGTTTATACGTTTGACCACAAACTTACAAACGTTATCAAACGTTGCAAGGTTACTAAGACAAAATTGTTATGGATGAGCAACTTCTTTATTACAATTGGGCGACGTTTCGGTGTAGATTCTAACACCATTATCAAGCAAATGATGTAAAAAACTAGGTATGAGCATGATATGTACTCTTCAAAAAAAGAAACTTGACATAGATGTAAAACCACTTTTTGCCAAATATCTAAAATAATTACATTAAATGAGAACCAAATAAGTCAAACAGAAAGATGATGTGTCTATAATTCGCGAAAACACATGCAAAGCACATAAACGTAGCGTTTGGGGATCAATTTTACAGCTCCAAACGTAACCGCCTGTAAAAAACGTGCAGCACAGGAGCCTGCATTTAGGCATGCAGGCCCCCCTGCTGAATGGGTATAAAAATCCACATCAACGGCTGTTCATACAGTCCTTATAACGACAGTAGAGGCGGTGACAGAATGCCAAGACTGAATGCAGCTCAACGGAACAACGCCATTGGGAGATTACGAGCTGGAGCAACTCAGCAAGAAGTGGCCAGGCACTTTGGCGTATCCAGGCAGACAATCTCCGCACTGTGGACCCGATACAACAACACCAACAGAGTTGACGACCGACCAAGGTCAGGAAGACCAAGGGTGACAACCCAAGCACAAGATCGATACATCCGGCTGCGACACCTCCGAGACCGCACTACCACAGCCACGTCTACAACCACACAGATCCCTGGGGTACGCAGAATATCAGATCAAACGGTAGGTACAGACTGAGGGGGCTGGACTTTTTGCACGAAGACCTGTTCGACGTCATGTATTGACCCCTCGTCATCTGGCGGACCGTCTGCTTTGGTGCCATGGGCACGTGCAAGGTGGAGAAATGTACTGTTTACCGACGAGCCCCGTTTCCTACTCACACGTGCTGATGGGCGCGCACATGTCTACAGACGTCGGGGTGAACGTTAGGCCCCCAACTGTGTGCAGCAGGTTGTCCCATTTGGCGGCGGGAGTGTCATGGTATGGGCCTGAATTCATCACGGTGGTAGGACGCCTCTCGTGCATGTGGCAGGTGCATTGACAGGTGTGCGTTACAGAGACTTGATCCTACAGCCTTACGCTCTTCCTCACGTCAACGTTCATGGCGGACAGTTCCAGCAGGACAACGCTCGACCGCATATTGCACGTGTTTGTCAGGAATTCTTACAGCACAACAACATCCAGACATTACCTTGGCCAGCCCGGTCACCAGATTTGTCCCCGATTGAGCATATGTGGGACGAGTTGGATCGACGCGTTCGCAGAAGGAATCCACCGCCCCAAACACTTCCGGCGCTTCTTGATGCATGAATGTCAGCACATCCAACAGCGTGTTATTGACAACTTGATTGCATCTATGGGTCGTCGGTGTCAAGCGGTGATTGATGGACCTGGTGGGCAGAACCGATACTGACATTTTCTGTACCCCTGTGATATTAACTGTATCGTGTACGTGTGTCTGTCTAAGTGACACGATTAATGTTTTGAACATTGTGTACATTTATCTTCAAACAGTGTTTCAATTATGGTTTCTGTGTCCTATTTTGAAACAATCGCATTATATTACATTTTGAAAGTCAGTGTCAAGTTTCTTTTTTTGAATAGTATATATACATAACAAAGGATAGATGTTTATATAACAGATAAGGTTGATGTACACCGATTGATTAGGTAGTTTTGATAAGACAAGTTTATACAAGAGATGGGGTTGATGTACAGTAATTGATGGGTATGGGATTAATATAGATGTTGTGTTCCAGAGAGGCAAGACAATTCAGAACCTCTTCAGTGCCACAGGTAAACCACCAAGCACACGCAAACAAGATCAAGCTGGTGTTGTGTTCCACATAGAGTGTGAATGCGGTGACTCATATGTAGGTGAAACTTCAAGACCTCTCAATCAACGTTTAAAAGAACATCATGCCTCTGTCCTAAAAAAAAGACTCTAAATCTGCTATCTCTGACCACACCCAAATCCACCCCAGCCACAATATTAAGTGGGACAACGTCAACATCTTAACAACAAACCAGAAAGACTTCAAGCTCAGAAAATTTACATCAAAAGAATTCAGCCAGCCATAAACAGAGATCAAGGATACTACATCCCTCCAGCTTACCATGATCTCATCAGTTTGCCAAAACAACACTGAACTATTATCTCTCCACTGGCTTCCCATACATTCCTTCTTAGTAATCCTTGTGTTAATCCCATACCCATCAATTACTGTACATCGACCCCATCTCTTGTATAAACCTGTCTTATCAAAACTACCTAATCAATCGGTGTACATCAACCTTATCTGTTATATAAACATCTATCCTTTGTTATATATATATATCATGCTCATACCTATTTTGTACTTCATTTGCTTGATAACGGTGTTAGAGTCTACACCGAAACGTCGCCCACATTGTAATGAAGAAGTTGCTCATCCATAACAATTTTGTCTTAGTTACCATTCCAACTTCTAAATGCCACCCAAAGAAGCGTTACAAGGTTGGAAAATGTTACTGTAAACGTAAGGTTCAAAACACAACTTACCGGTATCAAATACATTACCTTCGAATAACCATTTTCTTCTGTTTTATTTTAAGCAACCACCAAACATGGTGTATACTTTCTTTTGCCCGACAGTGTGTCTCTTCGAGTATGTACGGTTGGTTGGTTGGTTGGTTTGTTGTATTACGCCGCACTCAGCAATATTCCAGCTATATGACGGCGGTCTGTAAATAATTGAGGCTGGACCAGACAATCCAGCGATTAATATCATGAGCATCAATCCACGCAGTTGGGATAGGATGTCATGTATCAATCAGGTCAGCGAGTCTGACCACCCGATCCCGTTAGTCGCCTCTTACGACAAGCATAGTCACCTTTTACGGCAAGCATGGGTTGCTGAAGACCTATTCTACCCCGGAATCTTCACGGATGAGTATGTACGGAGATAACATGAGACGCCATCATGGCTGTCATAAAGTGCATATAAGGCAGTTAAACAAAGCCGTTTGTCACTCTCCTCTCAACATAAGATGTGTTTGTTTGTTGTTTAACGCCGCACTTAGCAATACTCCAGCTATATGACAGCGGTATGTAAATAATCGAGTCTGAACCAGACAATCCAGTGACTGACATCATGAGCATCAATCCACGCAGTTAGAATATGATGTCATGTATCAACCAGGTCAGCGAGTCTGACCACCCGACCCCGTTAGTCGCCTCTTACAACAAGCAAAGTGGCTTTTTACGGCAAGCATGGGTTGCCAAAGACCTATACTACCCCGGATCTTCACTAGTCCGCTTCACTAGTCTTCACATAAGAGATTTGTGAGGTTTCAACACGTGTATGAAAAAAATATTGT